TTTCACTCTCGATAAGCAAGAAAACAATAATCACTAGCCATAGACAAATAAAACTTTATTTCTAATCCTCAGAATAGTTCTTTCTTTTTTCTTTTCCTGAAAAAAAATGGCTTTAGACTCCTTCACTAGACTGGACTGTCTTCTCCAAAGGAAGAAAACTATGATGTTAAGCCAATTATTAAATGTTGGTAGGGAAGGACCCCGAAGGTATACAAAATGTAGTCTGTTACAGTAAATTACTAGAGAAGAGTTAACCGATGTCTAAATACAGAATGAAAGCAGAATTTCAAAGGGTGTAACTCAATACAAGAGAAACCCATGTTAATTCTTTTTCTGAAGGGATCTTTTATAAAGTGGGTGGCTGTAATCCAAGCACTGGGAAGACGTAGAGTTGAGACTAGCCAACACTAAGTGGTGACGCTCTGTCTCATAAATTCCCAAAAGGGGTTGGAGAAATCACTCCATGGTTGAGTGCTGGCTGCTCTCACAGAGGACCTGAGTTCAGTTCCCAGCACCCATGCTGGGCAGCTCACAGACACCTGTAACTGCCGCCCCAGGGGATCTGATGCCAAGCTGGGAAGCACAGAGGCCACTGCTCAAATCTCCAGCCCTCTACAGAATCCCAGCTTTAGAAATCCTGTGAAAAACACACATGTCATTGTTGGAGTTACTGCCCACAGTGGTCCAGAGACCAATGTTGCCGCACAATCCCTGGTGGGTGACTGGTCAAGTTTAAAACTGTGCATAAAAAGGCCAATTAAGCTGGGTAGTGGTATCATACGCCTTTGATTCCATCACTTGGGAGGCAGAGGCAGGCAGATCTCTGTGAGTTCGAGGCCAGATTGGTTTACAAAGGAAGTTCCAAGACATCCAGAGCTGTTGTTATACTGAGAAACCCTGGCTTGAAAAAAGAAAGAAAGAAAGGAAGAAAGAAAGAAAGCTAAACCCATTCATGTATTTAAAGTTACTGCACCATATTTTTATTAAGGATAGTCATTGGACTTTGAATGTTTATCAACTAAATAAGTTAAATGAGAGAAAACCTCAGTTTGCCTAATTTCTCCTAAATATTAAATGAGTAGACAATAAAACATAATCTACAATAAAGAAAACTATTGAGACTTTGCACAAATAATTTACCTTTCATAAGTAAGTTATTATTTACTTATTTATTTAAAATTATATTTGTGAACATGAATGCAGTTCCTGTGAATGCCAGAAAAAGGCATCAAATGCCCTGAAGTTGTGAGTCATATGATGTCGGTGCTCAGAACTGAACTCAGGTCCTCTGGAAGAGTAAGTAGCACATGTTCTTAACCACTGAACCATCTCTCTAGGCCCTAACATTTTTAAAGAATAAAAGCACAGAGTGTGTGTGTGTGTGTGTGTGTGTGTGTGTTCGAGCATGCTCGCACACATGCTGAGGTGTAGTGTGTGAAGATCAGAGGACAGCTTTTGGGAGCTGATTCCCTCCTAACACCAGGTGGATCTCAGAGGTGGGCTCAGGCCAGAAGCACTCTAGATGGGTCTTGCTTACTCCAGAATTTCCTCCTTGCTTACTCCAGAATGGAATTATATGCTATGCACCCTTTCCTGCCTGTCCTCTCTCACTGGGCATAATGCTTCTGGAATTCCCATGTTTCAGTCATTCACTCTTTTTTTGCTGCTGAGTAGCCAAACAATGGATGAATTTGCTAGAGTTTAAAGTCTAGTTCTTGTAGATGGATACCAGAGTTGTTTCTGGGGTCTGGCTGTTACGAGTAAAGCAGCTATTAAAGTCTTCCCAACAATGTTTTAAATATTTCATTTTCTCATGGGTAAACCCCAGGGAATGGAATTGTTGAGTGAGAATGTGAGTTTTGATACAGTAGTTGTGTAGGAGATTTTGCACACCCAGCGACACTGTGAAAATGCTGGCCACTCTGTGTCCTCACGGCTGATGCCGTTTTTAAAGTTCAGCTGTTCTTGTGCATGTGAAGTGATATTTCATTGTGCTTCAAATTCACATTTCTTTTATAAAAAATGGTTTGAGGGCTTTTCTTTAAGCACATTTGGCCACTTTACATTTTCTTTCATAAAGTTACTACTCGAAGAATTTTTTAGTTTATAATTGTGTTATTTATGTTTTGGGTTATTTCTATACATACTTTTAAAACGTTTTTAATTCTTTGAGAATTTCATGCAGTGTGTTTTGAACATATGCACGCCTCTTCCATATATGTATTTTGAACACACATTCTTCACCAGATACTTTATAAATATTTTCAGCTATTTCTTTTCTTAATGATGTCTTTGCAGGAGCAGTGGTTTTAAACTTTGATGAAGTCTAATTTATCATATTTTTTTCTATCTTATCATTTATGTTTTCTGCATCTCCTGAGAAAATTCTCTCTATCTTCAGTTTTCAGAACTATTTTACTATACTTCCTGAAATATCTTAAAGCTTGAGTCAGTGCGATGGCTCAGTAAGTAAAGATGCTTGAAGTCCTGGCCACCTGAGCTTGAGGTCTGGGGCCCACGTGGAGGTGCAGGGAGAAAAGAAACCATGGAGTTGTCCTCCGGATGCTACGTGCACACCCTGACTCTAGTGCCCTGTCCACACCAAGTATGCATGAGCGCAAACACACACACACACACACACACACACGAAGTAATAATAAACAGAACCCTTACAAACACATTTCAAAGTTCTACAATTCTTACTTGGGCTGTGATCTACTGTGACTGTTCACTGTGCGATGGTGTAGTCGGAGTTCTTTCCCTACGGGGTATGATGGTGGACAAGACCGAATTATTTTCCTATGCAGATGACATGTTTCAACATGACACATCAGAAAACACTTTGCTGGACTAGACCGTTGTGGATCCTCTATCAAAAGTCACTGGGGGTAGGAAATCAGGTCATCGCATAAAAGTGCTTGATGTGGAAGCCTGAGGGTCTGAGTTCAATACCTGGAATCTTCAAGGAAAGGACACACCTGTAAACCCAGCACTCCTGTGCCAAGACGGGAGACAGCAATAGAGAGAGTCTACGGACATGTGGCAGAAACAAGCGAGACCCGGGCTCAACACGGCAGAAGGAGAGAACCAACTCAACTTCTTCTCTGATCGCCATGTACGCATGCGCATGAGTGCACACAGGCACACAGGCACACACACACAAACACACACTCACGAGCACACACACACAAAACCAAATGGCTATAATGTAGGGCTTTCTATTTTATCTTATTGTCTGTTTACCTCTGTGTCAAATACCCCACTGTCCTCATTACTGTAGCTTTATCATAAATTATAAAATCAGCAAAGTCATTTCTTTTTTCCTCTTTAAAATCCTTTTGGATTTTTTAGGCTCTTGCAGCAGTTGCACAAGTTTTAAAATCAAAATCTATTCATATATCAGTGCTGGAGAGATGACTCAGTGGTTAAGAGTCTATAGTACACACACATACACACACACACAAATAAATTATCTATAGTCATGCATCCAAGTCAAGTTCCAGGTATCTGGACCATGTTGGATTGAATCCTGCTGAAATATACTTTTCTTCTTATTTGTACAACTAATCCCAAAAACTGTAGTACATTGCTTCTATTCATGAGCCATTTGTGCCTAGCAGGTCTGTCCTCCTAGGATGGGACAAAGTCATCAGGATCTATTCTATAACTTCAACCAGCCACGACAACATACTTTGACCACAGCAAAGCAACCGCAACTATCAAAATTTTCACTGGCATATAAAAACAGTTACTTGTTCATTACAAGTAAATGTTACAGTTCAGAGTTTGTAATTCATAAAACATTCAGAAATGTCAGCTAAACTATTCTCACACTAAGCTTGAGGAAAAACATTTTATTCAGATTGCTAACCTAAGTTTTAAATAAAGAGTTTTACAAAGAGCAGCTTAGCGGGTTTTAAATATTCTTTCTGCAGGGTGTCATGGAGTGATACTTCCCAAAGCCAACCTACGTTATCCATCATATGATAATTAATGACAATGGGGGAGCGAAGCTTCTCTCTTTAACTTCCAGTCAATTTTATCCTTTCCAAAGATTTCCTTCTATTCTGAGAAAAGGGTTTTTGGAAGGAAAGAATAACCAAAGGAAAGGGAAAGGGCAAAGGAAATCTTCCTCAGAAAATCAAATCTTCTTTTGCAGAGACTGGCATGGTTTTAACATACTCACAGAGGTATCCCCCCTGGTTATGTTGCAAAAGCCATGCAAATAATTATTGTGGCTAAGTGCTACACTGACAGTCAATATTGTATTTTCCAAGCTTGTACTCATTATTCTTTATAGTATTCATGCGTTTTGTGAAAGATCAAAAGATTTACATATCATATGGAGTGCTTTAGGGAGTAACTTGCTGAGAACTTTAAATTCACAATGTTCCACAGCCTTTTAAAGTCGGATTTCACTTCTCTCTTCTTTGTGATAAAAAAAATAACAAGATAGAGCTAGATGGATTCTTCCCTCAATATAATAAAATGTCTATTTTTAAATATAAGATGAGAATTTGATATTTTTATCTGTGATTCCAAACACAGTTTTGTGGTCCTAAATAATAAACTGCAGCTTCCCTTTATCATACGCATTGAAGAAGAAGGAAAAAAAGTGTCTATGTAACCCAACTTCCACAGCTCCTCAAGCAGCCCACTACACACATCACAACCTTCACTGGAGTTATTAATAACAGAATCGATATATGGGAATGAAAACACTGAGAGTGTAGGCTTTCTGAAGTGAGACTAGAGAGCCATGGCTGTTATCCTACAAACCGTAAGGAAAAGTGTGGTAGGTGCTAGCAGCGGTTTTCTTGGTAGATGTGGCTATACGGCGTAATGGAGAATATTCTAAGGAGACGCTGTCTGGCCGACCGGAGTCAAGTGTCCCTTACTAATTGGGTCAGGTCAGAAGTGGGAGGTCTCTTTGCGAAGGGATCGCTGGGCTTTCGCTCCTAAGGTTAGTGTTGACAAGACGTTAGGGGGTGGTTACTGACCTGAGCAGAGCCAGCTCCAAGTCATTGTTCCCCGCACAGATGCTTTGAAGAGAAGCACAGAGAGACTGGGGGGATGGTTCATGGCTGACAGCTCCAGTCACACAAATCTGAAAACCCACATAAAAAGCCCGATGCAGTGGCACACATCGGCAATCTCAACACACCCACTTCGAGAGGAACGGTAGAGGCCAGAGAGTCCGCCAGCCTCCAGCGCGCGGCAGAGCGGCACGAAGAGCAGAGACCCCGCCTCAGCAAGGTGAAGGTGAGAACAGACTCTCAGAGGACATCATCTGATCTACACATGCCTGGTGCGGCACATGTTCACCCAAGCATGCACTCACACACACTACAAAACGTCCTAAGGTCAGCTGTGCCAATATGACATATGTTAGGCAGGTTGTTTTTCATGCAGTACTCCAAACACACACACACACATACACACACACACACACATACACATACCACACACACGCACACACATACCACACACACACACCACACCACACACACACACACACACACACACACACACACACACACACACACACACACCCCATTTTGTCCCAGAGTATTCTACTCACTTGGTCCAGCACACTGTGGCCAAGATAAGAGATTTACCATCATCAAGCCTTTCTTCTTGAGATGTGCTGTCTTCCTACTGTGGCAAAAAGTCCTGGGGGGAAACTAGAGAGTGTGTTTATTTGGGGCATTTCACTTACTCCAGAACAAACAGAGGGAAAACTCTTCTTAATGAACCAGTGCAGTGTAGAGAATTCTGCTTAAATATTTGCTCAGATAATATTTTCTTACTCTAAAGCTATGGATCTGGCAACAGAGACAGATTAATAACAGCAGTGAGCCCTGCAGCTGTTTGAAGAGAGACTCATGTATCAAGGCAGCAACTGAAGAAAGGCAGACAACTCATGGTGATGCTACACCACCCTCCACGAGCCTGAGTGTGCAAGCCTGTAACTCTGCATCCTTATCCCAGAGTGTCCCAATAGAAGTAGCATAGGAATCCCAAAGTCAAAACACAGGTGGGACAGACTTAGTCAGCTGCGGCTTTGGATATAATATTCTGAAACATTTGAAAACTGACCAGCTATAGGTCCTAAACCCTCCACGATGTGAAGCTTGTTGTAAATTTGAACTAAAAGTGTCATGGACAAAAATCATGATCTTTGGGGAGAAGATTAAGATATAGACACAGCTTTAAAAAAAAGATCTGTTTTGTTTTTGCGTGAGGGGGTTGTTTGTCTGAGTTAACAGGTGAGCTACCTGTAATGAGGCGATGACTTAAAAAAATATATAGTTCTAGATCATGGTCTCAGTTTTCAGCTTTCACATTGTCTCAGAACTATAGTCTTGTTGGGTTGCCCAGGGTAGCCTTGAACACCTGGTTCAAGTAATCCTCTTCCTTAGTTCCCAAATAATACCTCCTGACTTACACCACATTGGATAAATCTCTCTCTCCCTGCCTCTCCCTTCCCTCCCTCCAATCTCTCCCCCTCCCCCTTCTTTCCCTTTTCTTCTCTCTTCCTCCTTCCCCAAGCTGCTTTCTCCACAAAAAGGTATCCAAATATTTTTGTCTAATATCTCTTTAGATAGTATGTTTGGTGATTAAATTTGAAGTCATTGTCACCAGACTTTAGTTCCTTCTGATGTGTTCATTTCATTTCTCGTGGGTTTCTTTGTATTAAAAATAGTAACAGCAAATAATCCACTAAGCTTGCAGATGTTACTGCTACTGGGTGGTAGGCTTAAATTCTTTTTTTTTCTTTGTATTTATTTTATGTGTATAGTGTTTTCCTTGCAAGTATGTACGTGCATCATGTGTACGTAATACCCTCAGAGATCAGAATAGGGCACTGGATCCCTCAGTACTAGAGTTGTAGACCGTTGCAAGCCACCGTGTGGGTTCTGAGAACTGAACTGAACCCAGGACCTCTGAAGGAGCAGAAATGCTTTTAATGGGTGAGCCATCTCTCTACCCTGCTACTTTGTAATTCAATAACTATTTGCTATTCTCAAAAACAAAATACGCATGATATCTGTTTTTTAAAACACAAGAGACCAGACTGGCAGTGAAGACAGACTTTCGGTATGTGAAATCTCATGATGCATTCAGGGCTGGATCAGCAGCAACAGACACTCCAGGACAACAGAGAAGAAATGCTGGAACCTTCCTTAGATTCTCCTACTCACCCCTGCATTGCTCTAATTGTTTAGCCTGTGTGCCAGAAGACTGACCTCCGTATCGTCTTCTCAGGGATAAGATACTATATTTTTCTTTCTCTTCCTCCCTCCCTCCCTCCCTCCCTCCCTCCTTCCCTCCCTCCATTCCTCCCTTCTTTCCTTCCTCCCTCCCTTCCTCCTTCCTTCTCTCTATCCTTCCCTCCCTCCCTTCCTTCCCTCCTTTCCTTCTTCCTTCCTTCCTTTTCTTTTAAGACAAAGTCTTAGTATGTAGCCCAGCTGACCTGAAAACCACTATATAGACCAGGCTGTCCTCAAACTCACAGAAATCCACCTGCCTCTGCTTACTGAGTGTTGGGGTCAAAGCATGTTCTACCACGTGTGGCCTAAGGATCAAGATTTTTAACAAAGGATGTGTGATGGGAGCCATTTCTCAACCTTGTTGACTGGAAAGGGTGTCAGTGAGTGCTTCAGGTCAGGTGGTCTATTAGTTAGCACTCCCTAATTGTGACAAAGTGTCTGAAAGAATCAGCTTATTTAATGGGAAGTTCTATTTTGGCTGCTGGCTTCAGAGGTCTTGGCCCATGGCTACTCGGTCCTGTCACATTGGGGCCTGATGTAATATAGCATGGCAGCAGTGTGTGGAGAAGCTGTTCAGGTGAACAGAGAAGAGACTGGTATTCCATGAGAGGGGCTACCCCTCCTGACTGAAGACCCCCTACTAGGTCCCTTCCATCAGATGTTCAGAAGTCTCCCCCAAAGAGCCAAGCTGAGGACAAGCCCTTAACTTAGTAGATTTTTGTGGGATTCAAGCTATAGCATCTGGCATCATTTGCTATGCCAGCAAAATCACCCACCCAAGCAGAAGAGTTGGGAAATGAGTAAGAATGTGTGGGACAAACAAAAGCTATCATAAGGATCTTAGGGAAGAAATTTGATTAAAAAGTAAGGTTGAGACCTAGAAAAATCCCTTTGGATAAGATGCTGGCCAGCTATATATTAAATTGATGCAAACTACAGATATCTGAGAGGAAGGGACCTCAATAGAGAAAATGCCTCAGTGTGATCTGGCTGTAGGGGAGGGTCCAGCCCCTAATGGGTGGTGCCATCCCTGGGCTAATGGTCCTGAGTTCTATAAGACAGAAAAGGCTGAGAAGGGCGTTGGAAGCAAGCCAAGGAGCAAACAGCACCTCTCTGTGGGCTCTGGGTCAGTTCCTGCCTCTAGGTCCCTGCCCTGTTTGAGTTCCTGTTGTGACTTCTTCAGTGATGAACAGTGATATGGAAGTATAAACCAAACAGGCACTTTCCTCCCCAACTTAATTTTGGCCCTGGTGTTTCGTCACAGCCACAGTAACACTAATTAGGACAGATGCATATAAGAGAAGCAGGCGTCTCCTTAGAGTACCCAGGTACAAAGCTCTCAGAACCCTTGGAACTTGACCTTCTACTTCAATGAGTGTCTTGGTCAATACTATTCCTATTCACACACAACCTCCAGTGAGAATTGCTTCTTGCAAATACTTCCAGAAGGCCCTAGGCTATCATTCGTTTGTAGATCTTCATGGCTTCTCTCAGTTAAATATTACACATAGAGAGAGTCCCAAGTATGGCTGAAATGGCCAATGTGATTGTGGGGTACACCTTCCATGACATGAATCCAAGTCAACACGGGCTGGATCTGGAGAGCAGGGCACCCTTTCTGGGAATCCAATCAAGACTTGGAAGAATGTCTACTAATCAGAACAGCTAACATTTATTGGGTACTTAATTTGTACCTGGAACTGTGCAAAATATTTGACATTCATTATCTCACATAATCCCTGTGATCTCTATCATCTTCATTTTATAGGTGAGGAAATTGAGGATTACAGAAGTCAAGAACCCTACCCAAGGTTGCATGGCTATATATCTGATAGGAAGGTATCCAAGCCTAAGGGTGACTGTCTCAGGCAGTGTACACCCTTGGTGACAACTTGCTGCTGGGAAGGAGTATCTCAAAACTAATGAGGGCCACAGAGTTCAGACTTCAAAAAGGAAGACAGACCTTGCCTGTTTCAAACACAAGGACAACTTCCTTTATCTATTATACCCAAGTAATGTCAAAAGTGAAATACAAAATGAAAATAGCAACAACAAAAGATAATGCCTGTGACAAATCCAAAATCTAGATACTCTTATGCCTTCTGGACTTGCCAGGTTACAAATGAAAAGAGCAACTACCGTGTTTATAAAAAAAAGTCCATAAAATGTATGAAGTTCTTCATGGGACAGGATTATTGAGCAGTTTTAAAGTTGAGTGCTTAGAATCTGTTTAGAAATACTGCACCTTCCTACTGTGTACAGTTTGCTTTAATGCACATTTTGTCCCTTTTTTTGGCAACAAATTTACTTTTGTATTGAATGTTGCTTATCCAGACTAGCAAAGCCATTTGTTTTTCCTGACTGGAAGTCACATTGTCAGGTATTTAGAAATGAAAACAGTGTGCTGAGTGGCAATAAACCCACATTTCCTATGCTGACTACCAGGTGCAGCCCACTGAGCTTGGTGCCCTTCTGGGATGCTGAAGAAGTCCCCATCATTATGGCCTAGGAGACCATGGATATGAGACATGCACGTATAAAATATCTTAAATTTCATGTCTGTGTATGTGTGCGCATATGTGGGTATGTTCTCGAGAGTGTGCATGCGTGTGTGTGTGTGTGTGTGTGTGTGCAGGCAGATGTACGCAGGTTCATGTGTACATGTGTATGTGTGTGTGTGTGTGCAGGCAGATGTACGCAGGTTCATGTGTACATGTGTATGTATGTGTGTGTGTGTGCAGGCAGATGTACGCAGGTTCATGTGTACATGTGTATGTGTGTGTGTGTGTGTGCAGGCAGATGTACGCAGGTTCATGTGTACATGTGTATGTGTGTGTGTGTGTGTCTGTGCAGGCAGATGTACGCAGGTTCATGTGTCCATGTGTATGTGTGTGTGTGT